AAGCAGCTGTTTGTGGTCTCACAGTCCTGGTTTTGTCCACAGTGGAGCAGACAGGAAGAAGGAGGTGAGCAGCCAGCGCTCTCAGATGGAGGAGATCCAGGAACACGAGGAACCTCCTCACCCAAAGAACCCGTCCCCCTGCCCCTCCCCCCAGAACCCCCAGCAGAGACCGTCCTCCGACGGCAGTAAAGGCCAAACTCCTTCAAAAAGGTTCCAGTTTGTGATTTGTCAGCTGCATCTGACCTCACTTCCTCCTGCTGCTGCTCTGACATCCCTCTGTCAGCTGCTACTAACCCCGCCTTCCAGGGCCCACAGTCCTCCTCTGCTCCGCCCACACCTGAGTCACCTGAGCCACTCAGGTACAGGTTGTCCTGATTGGCTGAGCGTACCTGATCTTTCAGTTTAGTCTGGTTTGGTTTGGTTTGGTTAGATTTAGTTTGGTTAGATTCTGTTTGTTTTACTTTGGTTAGATTGGGTTTGGTTAGGTTCTGTTCAATTTGGTTTGGGTTGGTTAGGTTCTGTTCAGTTTGGTTTGGTTTTCTTCAGTTAAGTTAGGTTTGGTTTGGTTTGGTTCTGTTTGTTTTGCTTTGGTTAAGTTAGGTTAAGCCATGCAGGTACAGGTTGTCCTGATTGGCTGAGTGTGCCTGATCTTAAGTTAAGTTAGGTTTGTCTTGGTTAGGTTGGGTTGGGTTTGGGGTTGGGTCTGGTCTGGTCTGGTCTGGTCTGGTCTGGTCTGGTCTGGTCTGGTCTTTATCCAGACCCTGTACGGCGGTTTGGTTGCAGTATAACAGACACTTGAGAAGCAGTGAGAAGAGAACTGAGTGATTTCTACCCACATCTCTGGGAGCCCCGTGAGGACTGACGGTGTACAGATCATGGATGGATGTGATCATACTGAACTGAGAATAGATCAAAGGCAGCAAGTCAATGCTGAGACTGAGGAAATGATGTTTCTGAATTGCCATTGAGTGTATTTTTATATTTTATATTTAAATTACCCAATAAATGTACGATAGAGGCGTTGTGAAGAACCGCTCCGTCAGGGTTCTGTTGATATGAACTGACCTGTGAGTAGCTCCACCCTCTGGCCAGGATTCAAGTCTTCGGCATCATCTCACTGTTTTAAAAACGTATCTCCTGCTATTTTCCACAAGATTTACAAAGACTGTATCAGAGGAACCCAAACCAACATGATGTTGTTCAGAGAGCAGAGCGATTAGTTTCACCTCCAGTTAGCAGGTCTGAAAGCCAACCAGGTGGAAACTAGTAAAGAGTTCATCTGCTGGAGTACAGAATGAAATTACAAAGGAATGAATCTGCCAGAATATGAGTTTGTACGGTGACCAACATCCTGTCCAGCCAGACCGCCTCCTCCTGTTTCACACAGCAGGAGGTCCAGGAGACTCCTCTTTGCTCTGCTTCTGTTTTATCAGCACTACTAACAGATTCTCCTCCCAGCTTTACCTGAGAACCTCCTCGCTAACTCCTCTCTAACTCCTCTGCGTTCCTCCTCCTGCTCCTCCAGCAGGCCTCGTGCAGCCTTGGCCTTGAGTTTCTGGCGTGTCCCAGCTCACTAACCTGTTTGTGGGTCGTGTGTTCCACTTTGTGCTGCTGAGTTTGTGGAGAAAGAAATCTCTGAGTTGAATCTGCAGAATCTCACTGAACTGAATGACAGATTGAATCCGTCTGAGCTAAACACACAGTGAACCTTTCAAAATTACTTTATTTTACAGGAACAGAGACACTAATAAACGTGCAACAGGATTATTTTTAATGCGTTGCTGTTACACCACCAAACATGTTAGTTAATAACAATCTTGTGCAGAACAAAGAAAAAAGTAAAGAAAATGCTGATCTCCTGTCAGCTGAGTCTGTGCTTCACAGCTACATCAAATCTACGGGTCCGGCTCATGTGAACCGCTCCAGGGTTGGAATCTTTAGGCTCTGAGCTTCAGATGGTTCAGGGTAAAAAAAATAAGAATACAAAATAAAAGTTCACTGAGTTTTTATTTTAGCAGGTTTAAATCAGTGCAGGAACACCTGTCGGCCACAGGAAGCAGACCAGCGTACATGAGGTCAAATCCTTCAGTGACCGTTTGATGTCACGCTCACAAACGAAGCACAGACGTGTTGCAGCAAAACACGCATGTTCATGAAGCTTCAAAGTCCCACAAAGATTCATGACATGGAACAGGTTCAGAGACGAGTCGAGATGAAGCTCAGAGACTCACAACGCAGCAGCAACACAAATACACTGTGTTTCCACATATACGTGTTTCCCGTACTGATTGTGTATCTGTGTTTGTGTGTGTCTGTGTTTGTGTGTATCTGCTTGTGTGTCTGTTTCAGGGGTCCCAGTGTGAAGCGGTCCTCAGGTATGGAACGTTCTCAGAGCAGCACCTGGGAGAGTTCAGACGAAAACCGCAACAAACTGGTGAAAGCTGCATCCACCTCCAAACTGCTGGCCAAAGTGGTGAAGAATGCAGAGAGGTACAAGTACACACAAGTACACTGTAGTACTGTACACACTCAGTACACAATACGTACTGTATACCGAGTGTACTCCGTATGTGTACTCAGTACCAACAAGATGTTTGCTTTTCCGTTCTTTCAGACACAAAGACCCGGTGGTGAACCAAGGTAAACACATCATCTTCATCATAACTGTACTGTAGTCCTCATCTTGTTCATCATCATCATCATCATCATCATCATGTGCAACGGCCAATAGGAAGCAGAGTCTCCAGCAGCACCACCTATGACACATTACAACTTGTTTATTGGTTCCTGGACTTGATTTATGTCTCAGAGGCCCTGTTGTTGTTGTTGTTGTTGTTGTTGTTGTTGTTGTTGTTGTTGTTGTTGTTGTTGTTGTTGTTGTTGTTGTTGTAGAAGTTGTTTTTGTTATTGTTTGAGTTGTTTTTGTTTGTGTTGTTGTTGAGTGATGATGTCTTTGTCTCAAACCAGCAAAAATGTCGACCCGAGAGAAAAACAGCCAAGCTGGTAAGTTGTGATGAGTGGTCACAGTCAGCTTCAGGCTAACATGCTAACAGCTACTAAATGAGTGCTTCCTGTTTCTTGTCTGAACCAATCACATCTCTCGCTCTCTTTCTGCTTTACATCAAAAGCCTCGCTCGCCCACCTGCTGTGTCTCCTTCAGATTGTTCAGGTGAAGTCACACCTGTCTGTGGCTCCGCCCCCTGGCATAAGTTACCTCCATATAAGGTCAAACAGCAGAACCAGACATTCTGTTTACCTGCAAATGGGTGTCCTGCCCACACCTGAGTGTAAAACCATGATTGGCCGCTGAGGCAGTCTAACGTTGATTGACAAGTCGTTGAGATACCTGAGGTGGTGTGTTTGACCCTAATGGAGGTGTGTCTGTGTGCTCCACCTTCACAGCATCCATGTCTCCTTACCTGTCGCTCGCCCGTCTCTCAGCTGTCTCCCACCTGTATCACAGTCTATTGTCTGCTACTTTTGGTCTCTATTCTTTTTTTTTTTGAATTGCCAGACAGTTTGAAACAGATTTTAATGTCACCTGTCTCTCATCTGTTCCTTACCTGTGTGACGAGTGTTTTTAGCTTCTTTTTGTCTGTGATGTTTTTATTTTAATCATCAGGACTTTTGAGATATCAGGATGTTTTGGAAGATCAGCAGACAGTTTGAAAGAGTCCTAAATGTTGCCTGTTCTGTCAGCCGTCTGTAATCTGATTGCATGAAATCACCATAGTTCACCTGTAAGAGATAACCTGAGATGGACTTTAGCTTTTCTTGGTGAAAAGCCAAAAACGTCAGATAAGTCAGGATGTTCTGATCCGAGCAACCATATCCAATCCAGTATTTGTATATTTTTACTAAACTGCCACCAAGAAGCTCCACAGAGATTTGAACCAAAGACGAAGTGAGCTGCTTGGTGAAACCTGCGTCTGCCTGCTGTTTCAGAGGGGAGTCATATTAAGATGTTCATGCGTGGGCGACCAATCACAATGTTCATCCCTTCAGACGTGGACAACTACGAGGACGTTCGGACAGAGCTGCCTTCAGAAAGACTCAAGCTAGAATGGGTGTATCCTTCACTTGGCCCTAGTCATAATTATAAACTGCATTTATAATTCATGACACGTTTCAAATGAAAAAAACTGTACAAATGGAAAAGAACTTAAATTTATAGGAAAAGGAAGAAGTACAGTGTAGATGCTTTCTTCAGTATGTGGCATAATTACAGACTCTGGGTAAAAGGTCATAATACGAGTTTAAGGGTAGAGTTTAAAATCCGCAATGGAGACGAAAACCAACCATCCATCATCTCTACACCTTCATCCTCACTATGGGGGGCGGAGCCTATCCCAGCTGACTCAGGGTGAAGGCAGGTTCACCTGGACAGGTAACCAGTCTATCACAGGGCTACACTTAGAGACAGACAACCAAGCACACTCACATTCACACCTACGGACAATTTACAATCACCAATTAACCTCAGCATGTTTCTGGACTGTGGGAGGAAGCCGGAGAACCCGGAGAGAACCCACGCTGCACGGGGAGAACATGGAGACTCCACGCAGGAAGATCCCGGGTGTCCTCACCGGGACGCCAACCGGAGACCTTCTAGCTGTGAGGCCACGGTGCTAACCACTGAGCCACCTTGCAGCCTGAAGAAAACCATATTTACAAAACTATTTGGGCCAGACCAGTACCTTCAGTGTCCAGCAGCTGAAGTGTGATCTGCTGACAGACTCTAGATCCCAGGCCCTTCAGACTGGTTGATGTAGGTCCTCTTGCAGCCAATTCATGCCTCAGTTCGTGTTACGATAGAGCCGGTCTGCTACACATGTCGAACACACCAAAACACACATCAGCTGCTTGCACATTGTATTCTGATTATTTCTGAGGTGTGTCGAGCACAATGTGACCACAACACAGAATTCCTGAAGAAAGGACTTCCTACTTTGGGCTCTGTTCATGGAGAGCATGAACACATCAAAGCATATCCAAAGCCCTGCAGCAGCTCCTTCAGTCACAACTCTACTGATGATGAGTTATAAAGTTGTGGATGGCTGAGAGTCTCCTCATACCAAACGTTTGTTTGAAGCACCACCTGTTTTCTGGTCACACATTTTTACCGGCCTGTGGACCTCATGGATTCAGGTGGATGATGAAGTTTACATCACGTGCCCTTGCAGACATGTACGTGGCTACAAAGAGCACACGGTACCTGTCCATCACAGTGCTAGAGTGGATCTCGGTAGCCCTTAGATACACCTTCAGTGAGTCTCGGTAGCCCTTCAGGAGATCTTGGTAGCTTTTGAGTAAACGTTCAGTAGCTTTCTAGCTTTTGTCCAGGTGTTTCCTTGACTTGGTGCAGGTACGGTTACCGGGGCAGAGAATGCAGAGCAAACGTCTACCTCCTTCCAACTGGAGAGATTGTTTACTTTGTGGCGTCCGTTGTGGTTTTGTTTAACTACGAGGAGCGGACTCAGAGACATTACCTCGGACACACCGACTGTGTGAAGTGGTGAGAAAACACGATTAATCACCTGCTGCTCCTGCCATCATCATCGGCCTGTGGTGACGGGTCAGCTAAGTTGTCTCTTCTGTGTCTGTCAGTCTGGCCATCCATCCTGATAAGATCCGGATCGCTACAGGACAGATTGCAGGAGTGGACAAAGACGGACGGGTGAGAACAACCATCTCTGTCTGGAGTGAAGTTTTCTGACTAAACTGAATCTAAATAATGTGTCAGGCAGAAAAACCTATCAACTAGGACTTCCAAGAGTATTAAAAGTGTTTGCCCATGAAGAGAATGATGTATACCTAAACACCACACCTGTAGATTGAGGTGGCAGTAATGCATAATATACTGTATAAACAACAACACTATCTGTAGTAATACTGATTCTGTCGATCGTCTTCAGGCGCTGCAGCCTCATGTTCGTGTCTGGGACAGCGTCAGTTTGTCGACTCTGCAGATTGTCGGTTTGGGAACATTCGAACGAGGCGTCGGCTCTCTGGCTTTCTCCAAAGCTGTGAGTATCATGCAGCTGCAACATGGGAACTGTAGTCCAAAGAATATTGACTAATGAAAGCATGATGGGAAATTATTTATCGAACGCACCGTATCCCCTGTCTGTGGATCAATAAAGTGTTTCTGACTGTGTCTGTAATTCTGCCCACCTGTCGGTCTCTCAGGACTCTGGTCAGCACCTGAGTGTGATCGATGACTGTAATGATCACATGTTGACAGTCTGGGATTGGCAGAAGAAGTCCAAAATCGCTGAGATCAAGGTGAGCTTGTGCTTTTCTTACTATTTTGTTCGCATTTTATTTTGATTGTCAGCACATTCTTTGTCGTTGTGTTGTTAAACTGTATAATGGCAAATGAAACAAGGAGAAACTGCTGGTTCTCATCGGTTCTGTTTCTGACTGGTCTGTAACTGGTGTCATTCTTCCAGACCACAAACGAAGTGGTCCTGGCTGTGGAGTTCCACCCCATTGACCCCAACACCATCGTCACCTGTGGAAAGTCCCACATCTTCTTCTGGACCTGGACTGGGAACTCGCTGGCTCGTAAACAGGGAATCTTTGGGGTGAGGTCACCACTTGTAGATTTTAATTAAACCAACGTGCAGTGTGCCAGTGACCATGGGTAATGTAGACAACATAAATAAATTATACCAGTATGGTCCAGTGTACCTCAAACACAACTCAGCGATTGTTTCTGATTTCATGTTAATGTTAAAGACAAAACAAAGTATATATACAAAATATATC